TCTTTTCGTGTTGGGTTTTTCGCGGTTTCAACGTCAACGATTTCATTTCGTTTTGATAAGATAGAATAATGTGGTTGCGTTTGTTGAGCATATCTGATTTTAGCTGTTTTATGTTTAAGTTCCTTAGTTGCTATGTTATGAGCTGGTTTTTTATTCGGATTTCTGCATGCTTTGCGAAAGGCTTCGAAGTTTTCTCTTGTTTTTTTTTCTCACATCTTACATCAATATATGATAGTTTATTTCTAGATGGTAAAGAAGTTTTGTAGTGAATGTAAGATGAAGCTTAAATGGCCATGTTATCTATTTTGTTGGTGAGGCTCTCCACATGAGACTTTGCCAGTTTTGATTCAAGCTCATGCTCTATTTTTTATTTAAATTAATCAGAGCGCAATAGTCTGAGCTGAGGTCGTCATTACTGGTTATCTTGAGAATATTTGAGTCAATACACTGCATAATAGTCTGAGCTGAGGTCGTCATTACTAGTTATCTTGAGAATATTTGAGTCAATACACTGCATAATCAATGTATATAATTGGCGCTTTGTAACCGCTGAGTCGATTTCCGGCCGAGATCCTCCTCCGATTTGTGGTATGCGTCCTGAGGTTTTTCCAACAAATGAAGGGACATACACTTCTTAGTAAGTCACATTCGAACGGCTGATGGATTTTTCTGAGGATCTTTTATTTGATGTCATAAATACAAAAATTGGGACTCCAATCAATGTAAAAATATTAATAACTTCTTTACAAGTGCAAATTAGGCAGAAACAAGGAAGTAAGTGCAGTGCTGTTATAGCAATAACACCCACTGTTTGAACTGAGGGTAACGACCTCGCCTCCAGAACAATACTTTGTGTAGACTTACAGGCCTATTCTGTCGAGGTAACAAAATTTACATAGGTATTAAAATTTACCATTCAGTAAATTTTGTTACCATTTCGTATTCTGAGCTCACTGTTACCCTGTAAATTTTGTTACCAGCGAAATAATAGGTAACAAAAATATCTGCTGTTTGATTTTGTGTTGTAAGTTTGAGAAAAAAAAAAAAAAAAAATGGGTAGGCATATTTTAGGCCTGGAATTCATTGAAGATGAAGAAAAAAGTGCAAAAAGCCGTATTTTAAGAAGTTTTCGAGACTAAAGAATAGCAATTTAATTTGTAAGATAACGTTTTCATTAAATTTTTTTTGTTGTCCAGGCATATTTTCCATAATTATGTTCAAATATTTGTGATTTAATAAACAAATTAATAAAACTTTTTAATTTTTTTGTGCACCATCTTCCATTTCGATGTAGATATTTTTCTTTTGACATAGACGAAAAAAGCAGTGCTGTCAAACTTTTTTCAAACATTGTAACCAGTTCGTCAATTTCGGGTGTTAATGAAAAGTAACAAAATTTATTTTACCAGTGAGAACAGGTCTGTTAATAATAATAGCAGAACCGCCATGTGCTTTACGGTCAGGTTGATCACAAGAAACGACATCAAAACTCTTTATTTTAAAGTAAAACTTGTTTGTAAAAGATATTTCGAATATCAATAGTATATCTTCTTTTTAAGTAAGCAACAATTTTCCATTTTTGATGTATACTTAACTGTATTGTTGCAACTACCCATTTTACTTACCATCCGTCCATAGTAGCCGACGTCAAGAGCAAGATACATACACAATTGTTGACGTAGCTGAGAGCGGCGAAATGTTGTCAGCTGCCAGTGTTTGCACACTTCTGAACAAATATATAATTTAAACGCAAATCATATATACATTACCTACGCATTATCTTCATTATCTTCACTAACGACATGAGCAAGCGGTGACAACTTTGTGAGCGCCATGAGATTGGTTGCTATGGATGGAAGGTACATGAGTTGGGTAGTTGCAGCATATGACTTGTGGGACAGCAACATTGGATCATTAGGTATAATTTATGCTGAGGTAAGCTCAACTTGTTTAGAAATCAGTGTTGTAACTTTTCTAAATTGTTTATTTGTCCTTTTAATGGCATCTAGCCATTATTGTTGTACACTGCTCATACAGAATTCAAAGAATTTATTGTATTAGAGCACGAGTAGTTAGAAACCGACTTGATTAAACATTTTTAGAGACTTATAAAGATGTCGGATTGTCGAGTCTACACTTAACACAACTGAATGTTTTTTTACAATACCCTTTGATATGTCCAAGTTTCTGACAAATATGACATTGCACTAAATCATTAAATTGTCGAGGAGGCTCAATTTATGTAGTCTACATACCTATACCTTACACAAACGATCAACATCAAAAACACTTTTATTATTTGTTGATAGTTGATGGTAAACTAAAAATACTGGCATGAGCATCTTAGTCACTATATTAGTAGACATACGAGGTGTGATCAGAAAATACCCGTTATATGCAAATTTCGTAAGTTACGAATGTTCGACATGTCTAGTATATATGTTGGCAATACCAGTCATTTTGGAATGCTAGTTTGTTTTTGACAAATAAAAAGGTAAGTCGTAATTTGGTGTGCTCTTCAATTTCGAACTGTTAAGTTGTGTGTAAAAAATTAAACGAAATACGCAAGGACTCTGAAAATGTTGTGGCGTTTGGCGAATCAACTATGAGCAGAACACAAGTTCAGTTGTAGTAAAACCGGTTTAAGGGGGGAAGCTGGTCTAGAATTTAGAAAAAATTGAAAAAAAATTTTTGTCTTAAAAGGTGCTTTAGGGTCTTAGAAATAAAATACCAAAAGATGGATGCCAACAAAACATGTCTAAATGCACACATTTTCATTCGACTGCAGTGCCTCGCAGGTATGCCCCGAGCGACCTACAACTTTAAACGCGGTTTTTTTTTGGCTTTTTTTAATCAAGAATTTTTTATCGTTTTTTATAGTGAAAATTGTAATTTTTTGTTCAAACGTGCAACATTTCGCGAAAAAACAAATAATCCAAAAAATCCTACGTATGTCTCTTGCTGCTGTCCAGGACAAAAAATAAGTGTTCACATCTTCGGCCAAGGACCCATTAGAAAAAATGCGTCTTCTGAAATGCTGTACACAACATAGTTGTATGAACAAAAGTTCTTGACTCTTGGTAAGAGCGGAGGGAAGAATCAATAATATTGACATAGTGAGGAGTCCTAATAGAAACGGTAAAATTGTTTCACATAATTTTTTGATGCTTAGGGTGCAAGATGGAGTATCTCTTGTGGTGGGACCATGTGAGACAATGGAGTGATAGGGAAATGCAAGACTGCATTAACTTGCTTGAGTTAAAAGCAGCGTCTTATGGATTCAAATGCTTTGCAGTTGACAAAAAAAATTCTGAAATTTCGTTCAGAATAGATAATATTATATCATCACAAAATATCGAAACTTGTAGAGAATTACGTATGAGGTCAAAGGAAACTGAATGGAGCCTTGCGACCTTTGCTTTCAAAGAATTGATATACAGGTTTGGTCAGTCAAAAGTCGAATTTTGCTTGCAACAAATATTGACACTGAATGCCCGAATTTCTTATATTGGTTTCTCGACCCGGAAGCTATAAAAGCAGACGCTTTCCCCACTGATTGGTCTAATATTGTTTCTAACGTGAAATAATTTATAGAGTTTGAGATTCAGCAACGAAAAAGATCCCCATCTTCTTTCTAAGAAGCTATTGCCTCACTTCGCCTTAGTAACGGTACAAAGAGTGGGGTGTGTTTCCATCCTTGGCTGAAAATGATAAAATTTGACCGGTTACGACCTTACAAGCAAAACTTGACAGAACAGGGAGAAGACAGTTTCATTATAGTTAAGAAACCTGATAGGGAAGTATCTTCGCAAGCAATAAGTAGATATATAAAGCAAATTATACAATAGAGCAGTATAAGGTATGTAAATAAATTTATAGCATACAGTAAACGTCACGCAGCTACTTCAGTAGCTTTCCGAAAGGGCTTTCTTGTTAAAGCCATTCGTAAAGCAGCGGCATGGTCAAAGAAATCCGAGAGTTATGCTTGATATTATAATCGTCCGATCGTAAACGAAATAAGATTTGCAGGTGCGAGTAAGTATTTTGGAAAAAAAAAATCTCAGTATTACGATCAAGCAAACTTACCTGAGTGAAGTTCGATTGTAATTATAATACCTGTCCAGCATCCCTCCCTCAAATTCTGTATCTATAAAAATGTTAAACATAAGTTTTGTTAGACCAAGTCGATTTGTTATGAATTGTGAAAAAAATGAAGTAAAATTATGTGTTAGCCCTGAGGCGTATAAATGTGTTTTAAAAGGAATTTACGTAAATGAATAAAAAAAAACTAGCTAGTATCTCAATATATCAAAAAAAAAAACATAAAAATGAAAACAAAGATTTGTTTTTAAACATTCTTAAAACATTTACACACACGTGCGCTTTGGTTGTTTTCCTGTAGCCGTGTGGCTTTTGAAATAATTGTTCCCAAATCAATATTTTTAATCATGTGATTCATGGAATGGTAAAACATAATTTTTTAGCTTAGGGAATGCATAATATATACATATAACCTTACTTTTGAGATTATGCAGTTACGTTTTTGGGAAATTTTTCATTATGACTCTCCAACGATTATAAATACATATATATGTATATTTATGTATGTATGTATTTATATTGTATGTATATAATATTTATTTATTTATGTTTATATTTATGCATATTTGTATATACGTATATATGTTTTTTTTTACAAAATATACATTGGTATGTGTATGCAAATGTGATAAACTTGTGTAAATAAATAGTTAAGCGATTATAATGAAAAACCACACCATTTCCATACTTTTTTCTGTCGTATACATATTTATATGACATGTTTAATAAATTTTTGATATTATTCATACATAATTAATTTAGTATCAAATATTATTTTATTTTATAGATACGAGCTTTACCGTTTCAAATTTAAATTATCAAAACTTTTATTTACTTCTATTTCAATTCACCAATAACATATTAAAATCATTATTTGTAATCGACGTGATACTATTTAGAAATGGTTGCGTAACATCTGAGGATCTTTTTTGGAAACTAGATGCCTTACAGTCGTTTATACATGATCTTCATTGGCCGGATGCAGAGTTTCGTCAGCATTTAGAGCAACGTCTAAAAATGATGGCCGCTGAAATGATTGAACAATGCATACAGCGTACGGATTCATCATTTCATTCGTGGCTTAAGAAAAACGTGGCCTTCATTTCAACAGATTATATAATACCTTCAGAGATGTGCGCAATGGTTAATGTGATATTAGATGCTAAAAACCAAAGCTTTAAACTAACCACAATAGACGGTATTGATTTGGTAAGTAGAAATATATATTTAATAAAATTTAGCATAGATATGTATATTTAAATATGCGTTAAAAATGTTTCCCTAAAATATGACCTTGATCAGTATTTGTTGGAATTAGTAAATGCGTTTTTATATTACTGACATGAACCTCACAGTTTAATTTATATCGTAGGATATGCGTGATGAAATTCTCTACAGTGATTGTAAAACACTAATTACTTATATAATATTAGTTAATGCTTTTTTTATATATTTGTTGGAAAAACATGAAGACACAGAACCTCAAATTAGAGCTCGGTCGAAAATCGTTTCAGCGGTTACAATTATATATTAATATATAATTTTCGAGGAAAATACTACTATCTAAAAATCCCCTGCTTCGAGCTTACAAGCTATATTAGTTCTTCATTTAAGAAAATAGTGTGTGTATGTAGACAAACAAACACAATAAGTAAAACTTGTTGTCATATTGGTTTGCCCAAAAAGTAATTGCGGATTTTTCATATAGTCGGCGTTGACAAATTTTTTCAACGGCTTGTGACTCTGTAATTGCATTCTTTCTTCTGTCAGTTATCAGCTGTTACTTTTAGCTTGCTTTAGAAAAAAAGTGCGCGAAATTTTGTTTACATTTGTTTATTTGGCGTCAATTTTAATATGGAGCCCACAAAGGAGCATTTTCGTCATATTTTACTTTATTACAATATTTCCGTAAAGGAAAAAACGCGGAGCAGATTGCTAAAAAGTTACGAGATGTGTAAAAATTGGTTTCGCAAATTCCGTTCTGGAGATTTTTCACTTAAAGATGAGCCACGTTCAGGTCGGCCAAATGAAGTTGATGATGACCAAATCAAAGCATTAATCGAATTGGATCGTCATGTAACTGAGCGTGAGATAGGAGAGAAGTTAAATATACCAAAACCAACAGTTCATTATCACATAAAAAGTCTTGGACTGGTGAAAAAGCTTGATATTTGGGTACCACATGTATTGAAAGATTCATTTAACACACCGAATCAACGCTTGTGATATGCACCTTAAACGCAATGAATTCGATCCGTTTTTAAAACGAATCATAACTGGACTACCTACTGACTCTTCTGTTGTTTTTGGTTTTGTCATTAGTACGTTCGGCCAGTCCGGGTTGCCTTTGTGGCAAAGTTTTGCTCCTTTCCTACATTCGGCCGTCCTGAAGGTACATTCGCTCCGAATGCAATGCTCTCCAACCTTCTGAACTTCATATCGTTCGTGGCCTAATTTCTGCAAACTCTTATATGGCCATAAATACTTTGCCTTTATCTATGTAGTGTTACAAATTCCGTACGTTTTACTGCTACAAGTTCATTTATTTCATGCCTAGTTGCCGGTTTCAGTTCAGATTCAAAACTATTACGGGTTTCTGGCTGAATTTTTTAATATATTCTCTAGCTTGCTCTCTTATTTCATTTCTTTTTACGTCGACCTCTTCAATGAAAGAATCTTTTATAAGTTCATTTAGGTTAGAATTAATATTGATTTGCATATCGCACCCTGAGATAATTCTGAATGGCGCGAGTATTGTGCTGCGACTGGTAGTATTATTGTATCAGTATTCCGGATGGTCTCATTTACTACTACTACTATTTGTGGTAGCCATTGGACCTTCTTGATCCACATGAAAAGTACACAGTTGTCGATCATATTTATCTAAGGTTGTCAAAAACCCTACTTTCTTACTTTCCTTCGTGTTGGATATTATACATTCAACACAACTACCTATATTGGCGAAAAATTTCCTTACCTGTGGGCTACCTCAATCACTTCATTTTCAATTTGTGACGGCATAACTATAAACTTTTGCTGGATTTTTGTCTAAAATATCATTAAAAATTAATAATTCTCATAATCTTCGCTTTTTAAAACCTTCTTATTTGCCCGAATCCAATCATCTTCCAGTTGAGCAACTTTTAAACGGTGTCCACATGCTTCATCTGCACTCCAGAACGGTGTTCAATTTGGAGATGGAACTCCTACAAAAACATTGCCCATCTTGCTAGACGTGGTGATAAATCGGACTTCTTCATAGTATGCTCAAAAGCTTTACAATCCGCCACAATTTTAAATTTACAGCCCAGCACGTAAATACTCCATTTTTAAGTGCCTCAACTATAGCCAGAACTTCGAGCTCATATGCACTATAGTTTTGTTCAGCCGATGTTGTTTTACGACTCATAAATTGAACCGGATGAAAACATTGATCATCGGACCATTTCTGCAACAATGTTGCCCCGTAACCATACTTGGACGCATCAGTGTGTATTTTGGTCTCTGGCTTAGAGTTGTAAAACCTTAATACAGGGTTTCGAGAAAGTAATGCGTCCAACTGCTGGGAATCGGATAACTCTTCATCGTTCCATTTAATAACTTTATCCTTTCGTAGCAAATCGGATAATGATTTTGCTAATAGCGCAAATTATCGTATGTAACGCCTAAGGGAAAAGGACGTTAAAAGAACCGTTAAATCCCTTTTCTATCTTTTTGAAGAGGGTAATTTCTAGTCGCTATAGTTTTCTCTTCAGATGGAGTTATTATACCCTTTTCTATGACGTACCCTGAAAAACGGATTTCCCTTCGTAAAAATTGACTTGTTTCCCACTTAATTCATACTCCATGTCTTCCAACTATCTATAGCATTTTTTCAACTTCCATAAGCCCTCATCTTCGTTATCTGCCGGTATGCCAAAGTCATCCATATACACTACTATTGTGCCCTCGCTTATAAGGTCTTTGAATGTTACACTTATCAATCTACAAAAAACGGCAGGCGAATTAGTTATTCCAAAAGCAGCATGTTTGAACTAATACTGTCCTCAGTGGGTTACGAATGCTGAATATTTTTTCAAATTAGACTCCACAGGCACATAAAAGAAGGCATCTTTCAAATCGAGAGTCGAGAAAATTTTTCCCGCTGCACATCATCCATTGTCATTGGAACTGATCCCTAATTAATTTCGGTAATAACCGTTTGCTCTTAACTTTTTCATTCACTAGAACTATAGGTGATGCGAAACTTGAAATACTGGGCTGAATGATCTCTTTTTCTAACCATTCCTCTATTTGATTACCAAATATGCGTTCTCGAAAGAAATTCTTCTAGCCCGATGCGTCATCATTCAAAAGTATTTTCATATCATAGGACTACTTTCTATGTTGCTCGACTTGTATTGTATTTGTTTACTAAAGAAGTAAATGTACTACTTCGGACATTTCCTCTATATTTAAGAAAATGCTCCTAAGCTCATTGACCATTTTCAGATGACCGTCTAGTTCTAGTTTCTATTCGTGCACTACAATCGCTTTCTGAATCATCATTTGTCTGCTCTTCTCCATTATCGTGAGTAGCCAGTTTAGAATTTTGTTCATGCGAAAATTGAAATTCATGTTTAGTAACTATGAAATGAATGTGCACCTACAGAGGATAACCGAGAATAGCTTCAAAACCTACCTTATCTTCGCGAGCCACGTAAAATTTTAGATTCAACGCGATATGGTCTATCTTAGCTTGAATGACTGAACTACCAATAGTAGTAGCAATTTTTCCGCAGCGAGGTTTCGAATATATCTCTCCTAATCAAACACTACCTACATACGCTATCTTTTAACGCATTAAGCTCTATCTGCCTTAACAAAACTTTGTACTTAAACACACCCCTGCTCAGAATGCCATTCCGTAACGTATGTAACGCATTTATATTACTTTGCTCCTACTTCCCCTTGACGCCTTTATTACTTCTGCAGTGAAACGATCGATGTACCATTTCATTACACATAAAACATTTGCATAGCGGACTTGAGCGGCTTTACTACTCATTACTACCACATGTAAAACAACTTTACTGATTTTTAACATGTACTGTCCGATTTGAAATATCAGGGTTTTCTACTGACCGATCTATCTGTTTTTTAAAACTTAAGTGAAAATGAGATTTATCACGAGGTTTCTTATATATTTTAATTTGAACTTTGAGATCTTCTATACACTTAGCCTGATACAAAACAGATTTCCCAATTTAAGAATCTAGAATACCGCTTATAAAGTATTCCATAATACTTTCATCATCTACTGATTTGCCAAACGAGCTTCTGATGATGACATTTTTATACTAAACTCATTTACCAAAGCAATTTTTATCAATTTGTCAACCCTCTTGATAAACAATTTAGCAGCACTCTTAAGCAATTGTTTGTCATAAAAGAGCTTCTGAATCTCGCTCCAACTCACTGCAAAAAAGTTTTCTTCTGAGTATCCGGACCATCAAAAATCGACAAAAAACCTTCTACTATTGTATATCTTTACACGTGAACAGAGATTTTTGATATGATTGGGGAGAAGAAGCATCAGCGGCCGCAGCGTCTGTATAAATAGAAACGTGCCTGTCATTGTCATCGTCAGAAATTTCGAGACCAAAATGTAAACGTAGTCTCTCCTGCATTCATTTTTCCATCTGGTTATTGCTAGTCCGCGTTCACGTAACTTTTTCCTTAACGCCGTACAAGTCATATTTAGTATAGTTTTAGTATCCATTTTGGAAATATTGCAGTTACATCAATTCAAATTCAAAAGTAATATACCTACATAACGGAAGATATCAAAAATTATTTCCCTTTTTAAAATTCTTCTTCTACTTATGCACGTATGCATAACACGTCATTTCTCTTTCTTATTCTATCGTAAATAACTTATATCAACAATACTTTAAAGTAAACGGCTAAAAGATGACGTAAAAGAAAATAGAAAAAAGTGAACTTTTTCCTGAATTACTACAAATTTAAAATCACTGTTTATATAAATTAGATCAATTAAGTTAATGCTTAAGTCTTTTGCATTTTGCTTTACATTTTCTTAGTTACTTCTCATGCCTTTCCTTTGCTTAGTTTTGCTATTACGTACATCATAAATTACTATAAACATACATATTCGTTTTCTTCCTACTTCATTCTCATTATACTCCAATGTTGCCGATATTCCTCTGCTTCGTGTGTTGCATGTTTTCCACTACGACACTAGTTCAAAATTTACTCGTTTTCCTTTTCACCCTTACTTCTATTATTATCGTCCTCTTTCAATGTCGTTCTTTTTATTAAATTTTGCATTCTCTCTTTTTCCTTCTTTTTCTTTTGTTTATATAAATAGTATATATCTTCTTTACTTTTCGAATTTTAATTATCCTTCTTCTTGCTCCTGATACCTCACTTAGATAGTGTTGATGCACGAGTATAGATTAAAACCTCATAAGTTTTCTGATATAGGACAATGAATCTTGTATCTCTCAGTGAGTATTTGAATTTAATCTGATATAGGTTTCATGATTGAAACACTATCCCAAGCCAAGCCAGGGGCGACCGAGGGGCGACCCCAACTAGAAAATTTTACTTAATTTTTCATATAAGGAAATTTTCTATAACTTTTGGGTGTTGGTCGTACCAGAAATTGATCCCGGCACTCAAAATAATAACAACAAACGTACTAAGGTTAACGCAATATTCTGTCGATTAGCGCTTAAGTAATAACATAACTGATTTTTACTTAATGTATGTGAATTGAAAAAAAAATTTCTTTACTGACTGCTCTAAACTCGTTGGTAGGGTGGGGAGCTTATTGTGATCAATGCAGAAATTTTCAAATTAAACTAACTGCATGGGTATTCAATTCCAGTATACTATTACACTATATTCTAACAGCAAAGCTATGGTTAAGTCTCTCCAATGTAATCATACCATCTCAAAGGTGACATCGAAATGAAGTGAAACCTTCAACAAACTCTCGACTCTCGAATGTTATCTTTGATCGATACATAAAAACACAGACACTGTTTGAAGGGGACTCATGGTAGAAGAATATTACTTCACTTATGAGGTATGAAGAGTGTAGACGAGGAGGAGCACCTCCTCTGGTTCGGCCAAAACTTCTAACAGTATGAAATTATAAATTACACATTCGTATTAATAAAAAGTGCCACTTAAAACACATAGTACTATTGATTTGTTCAAACCAGAGATTTTGTGTCAGAAGTTCAAGATACATGTGTATATAAATAAACATTTACACCGAAAATTACCGGAATCGGTAATCTTTATTATATAGCTCTCTCCAACCAATTTTCAGATATGAGAATTCATATTAAATTCTTGTAAGAAGGTATAGAGATCTCCACATATCCGAAGGCAGATCTTCTATCTTGTTTAATTATTGTATTGTAGATCGGACACAATTAAGTTTTGCTGAGCATAAGTTTTAACCCATCTTCATGGGCAGTATTCGTTACTCACAAACAGGACTTAAAATTGATCTACGTGATAATCTATCGTGCTGAATATACAAAATAATGAACTCTTACACAAAAGGAGAATATTTTTTTGCAGATTAATGTTATTATTAAATGAAACACTATTCATTATAAGTAGATCGCAGATATTAAGTGTCTCCTTTTATATCTTTTCAGTACAAATTTCACACTAAAATTGATGATCAAATCGATAAAGCGAATGTAGCTATGACACAAGGGCTCATTTGTAAACTTATGTCTGTGCTAGAGTCGACTTTGTCGAAATTAGCGCGTTACGATGAAGGTAGCCTAATTGGCTCTATACTCAGCTTTACTAACGTATCCAGCTCAGGGAAGGATCTGGGCCAAGGCTATGTTAATTTCTTTCGAAACAATATGGATCAAATTCGTGGTAAAATTGGTGATGATTTATGGACGTTAAATTTTTTCGAACAGTGGTACACGCAACAGATTAACATGCTTTGTAATTGGCTCTCTGAGAGATTAGATCACGCACTCCACTATGCTCAAGTGACATCAATATCGCACATAACAAAGGTAAGTAATAGCTATAGTAATAGTAATGCTCAATTTCGTTACTATTATGTTTGAAAAAATATTGCTTCGATAGTTCCCGGTGGGAAACGGCGTTTAGCGTCTTGGCCACTTGGCTTTACTGCTACGGACCCTTATTGCTAACTGGTGTCAAAGCTAAATACTGAAATGAGAGCCGAGTGGAAGTAAGTGCAGCTAAACGAAGTATTTTGTAAATATGCTATCATCGAAAGTAGTTCATGGGCTCTGAAAACACAGTTAAGCCTAAAATGTTTATCACAAGATTTGTATAGTGAAGAGCGCTGAAGAGTGAAGCCCATGCTAAGCAGCAGCGGGAAGCAGGTTACCCTGATAAGTAGTAGATTTTTATCTGCTTTTCTTTTTGACAGCTATGTTTTTGTGAACTGTCCTAGACAACTGCGCTCTCATATCTTTAATAACCCAAGTGAGCTACTTGGTTGTTTTTACCGATCGTAAATTGTATATCTTGCCCCCAGGATATTAATAATATTGACTAACTAAGCCTACGGTGATATCTTTTTCCATCTGAAGGAAAAACTCCGATTGTGTCTGAATGTCAATGTTACAGTGAAAGATATTCGACAAGCCTGCTGTAAGGTATAGGATCGTAATGAAAAGCTGTTTTAGACTAACATAGCAGCCTGACGGTTAAATATTATGCTATCTCGACAGGCAGTTATCACCATCCATTATACTTTTTCTGTGAAAAATGCCACAACCTAAAGCAGGTAAAAGCCTCTACAATCGGAGTAATCTTGTCGCTATTATGGTGTCCGTTTTGTAGAAGCTCGTCAAAACAATTCTCTTTCTGAGTCTTTAGATAGATTAGAAACGATGACATAGACTAAATTTGCATAGTCCTTAACGGACAAAGTTAAAAGCTGTAACAACTACAATGTTATTTGGTATTTTAAAAAAGCTATGATGATTTTAAATAAAGTAAGTCATTTCTTGCTATTCGCAGAAAATTTATTCAGATTTTGAGCTTCAAGGTGTATTGGAAGACAAACTTAACTCCAAAGCATATCAAACTGTTGCTCTACGCATGACCACTGAGGAAGCGACGTGCGCGCTAACCATGCCGGACGTTGTTGAGTGTGACGAGTAAGTAAAAACATGATAATAATTAATAATGAATCGTAAACTGTAATAAGTATATCTTCATTGCAGTAACGGGGATACAGTAAAGGGTGAAGGAGGTGATGAAGATGGCACCGGTGAGGAGGGCGGTGGTGGCTCTAGCGTGGGAGGCGCATCCCGAGGCTTGCCAAAACCCAAAGTTGCCGCCGCACAAGCAGCGGCTGTGACTAACGTTGTAGCTGGTCGGGTTGGAAATTTACTAGGAAAAGGTATTGGGGGACTTAGCTCAAAGCTGGGAGGTGGAAGTTGGTTTTAAAGTAAGTCGAGATACCAAAAACACTTCAACAATGTCGCAAGTTATATATTATTTAACCGTAATATATATTTGCATACACTCATATATGTGTGTACATGCATATATGGATGCAAAGTACTAAGAGTTATAAATATTAATTACTTACCGTTATACACTTGCTTGGTGTTTACAATAGTAAAACTTAACGAATCTCCTGTATAATATTTGAATTATTAATGTTTGATGAAAAAATTCCTGTCAAAACAAAAATGAAAAAAGTTTTTACTTATTTGGATATTCATTTTAAAACTATAGAAAATAACGTTATGATAAAATGTGTTATATAATGATGTATGCACATACCTATGAATGTATACACATACATACACAAAAGAGGGATCTTTCAATTTTCAAATGAACATCTCAATGTTTGGATTTTTTTTGGTGTTGACAAAGCAAAAGTTGTGGTATGATACATGCATAGATGTATAATATAATTCTTATGTAATTACTTTATGTCAATAATTTCCTCGTATATCATTACAATGTATTGTGTATATTAAATTATTAAAATTATAAATAAAATATTATCAAATTTTACAAAAATTTAATATTTTTAATATAATATCATATTAATACAATATTAATAATATAAAATTTGTAGTAGCGTATATGTTTGTTGTAAATTGCAAACAAGATGCAAGACGAATCTTGCTCAAAAGATATATGAGGGAGTACGTACACATGGTAATCATCTCGATGCTATGAGCCAAGTCCTTCAATATTATTAGCACATACATAAAAACGTATGTATAACACACAGATAGTAATCACAGTAAAACAGATATGTTACAAAAACCACTCATACATATATGCTTATTAAAATATAGAATATTTAGCGATATCGCATTAATACTTTTATTGAGCCGAGAGAACTTCACACTACTACCGACATCGATAGCTCCGCCGCAGTTGCCATCAACGTTGACCGCTAATTACGCCGATTCTCCGCACCTTAGTTGACCCGGATTTTATTCGACATAGGGTTGTTGGTTTTTCAGCGAGCTAGTCCCGGTTAAAACTTTAGGTAACACTAGCCTAAGAGTATCAACGGAGCAAAAGAGTTTTTTCAAATCTATTCTAACAGAGCTGACATCGAGCCCAGCCCTGGTCAGCCAGATTATTTCTGCTGGGTGTGTCAAAGGCGACTCCAAAATTCTTTCATTTTGGTTAGATGCAATCAGTGCTATGGCTGGAGTAATCTTAAGATCTACTCATGCCTAAAGACACAAATTGATTACACCACGTGTTAGGCTGCTCCATGCTTTCATATATCAGCTGCACCCCAAGCGTTACGTTTTCGTTAACGTTCCTTTTGCACCCCAGACTCCGCAACATGATTTGCTATCTTTCTTAACATCAGGTCATAATGCGTCGTAGCGTGACATCCGTCAAATGCAACTTTTGCTCTGGGTGGTGTCACTTTCGGACGTGCTCTGGCTTGCACTCCACCCAAAGTATAGTGATGTACGACAGGCCCCGCCTACAACTGTAACACTGTCGCCAACCAACTCCAACGGGCGTCATCCTATTCAGCGGATTACACAGCAACGTCACACAAGGCACATCTATCTCTTAAATGCCATATGAAGGTTCACTCGAGACAGAATAGACTGCAAGGATCGCAAGACCATTTTCCTGATATAGGTGCTTCACTCAGGGACGAAGGCCATTTTGTTTTGAACAACTTTAAAATGACCGTAGGGTAATGGAGATGAAAGAACAAATAGACGATTCACCAAAGTTGCGGATAATTGTCACAGCTCGCCTCATGTAACTACTGCCGACGTCACCGTAAGTGAACAATTACTGTGCAAAATAGTCATGTCATAGTCCCTCCTTCTCCAAAAGGCTTTTCATTGATCCAATATTTTTGTTCTTGGCGTCAAGACTTTTTTCTCTTCTTCACGACAACAGCTACAACCTGCTATATCGTCAGCCACCTTGTCCACTACCTGGACTAAGAAGTACCGTCTCGTTGTGAAATTCGGTGATGTAAAAATTCCGACAATTAACAACCTGAAGTTTCTGGGAGTCATATTCAACATCGTTCGACATATTTTACGTGAGTACCTGCCGACGTCGGCCTAACCTAACATTGCTCAAGAACACAGCGGATCAAATAAATGCGTTGATCAGCGCCCCATAATGCAAGCATTATGGTACCTATTGGCAGTGTGGAGTGGATAAACTAACCACCTTGGTAGGATGCGAAGCCTACCTAAACCCTTTGCCGCACTATGGGTTCATTAGCAGTGTGAAGTGGACACACTAACCACCTTGGTAGAATGCGAAGCCTATCTAAAACCTCTGCCGTACTATGGGTCCGGCAGCCGGTTGCAATGCTCTATGCAGAAAGGCATTGAGAGGTTCATGATCGGTTACGAGAGAGCCCATACTCAGAGATAATCTGAAGTCTGGAATTTTCGCCACTAACGTGAAATCCCGAATGTACTCATATGTCACGCTACCATTGGAGCTATTCTCCCAACGGTCTTGCCATTACCTAAACAAACATGCATTTAGAGCCTGCGGCATTGTAAGTAACCACACTCTAGGTCCCTATCAGATAACCGACCATCCTGCAGCAACTCAACACTCAATCCCCTCTTCAGATTGAAGGCTACAGCATGCTGTATGACCACCAAGTCGAGAGAGGGGCATTCACTAACACCTGCACAAGCTCAGAACAGACGGTGCTGCACAGGTAACATACGCTTTCAACCTTCAGCCGACATAACTGATTCGTACCAGAGACCCCGATATACGAACAGCCGACTGATGCCTCATTCACACCTTAAAACGCGACGTACTTGCCAAACAACACACAAATACACGAAGCAAAACTCACTCTCGCACCAATGGTCAGTCCCAATTATTCGACCTGAGTCACTTATCTGACACTGACCCCATCTACACGTACAACCCGTGGGCGAGTCGAGGACAATTTGCTCTTGAACAACATTTTCACCGTATTTTCCACCGAGGTCTCAAAACCAACACGAACACCCCAATTTGGAACGACCCCAAGGAACCGTTAACCAACACGCTCTGAATCTAACCTTGACTGACCTTCTACCAAAAGCAAAAGATCGTCGGCATACGCACAACACTTACACTAACGTTCCAGAACCCACAACAAGAATTCACCATGAGGTTCGGAATAATTGGACCACAGATGGAACCCCTTGAGAGCAGCCCCGAACATCCAATAAATCTCACCCAATACAGATAATCAAAAGCACCCTTAAAGTCAATAAATAGGCCGAGAATGTATTTATTGACATTCCCCCTGACAAGATTTTGAACATACATTTAGGCATCTTCAACATTACGTCTTTTTCGACCACATACCCCTCATTAGCTCCCCAAGACGTTCAACGAGCACCCTTTCTAGAACCTTGCCATGTACTGGAAGGAGACTGAGGCCCCTTTAAGATCGGGGATCACTACTGTCTTATCGAGGGACTTCATGAGAGGAACAACCCTTGCACACCCCCACATACGTGGAATATGCATCTATGATAAATAGCCTCTCGGTAGTCAGGAATGAATTTCCACAAGCTCTTGCACATCTCTCCGTTTAAACCGGCAAGACCTGGGAACTTTTTACTCCTAACCAGGCTAAATGCAAATCCTAGTTCGTCTTCGTCAATAGGAGGCACAGACACCTCTTGTGCATGAGGTACCTGTAACTCCGCCCTAGGAAAGAACATGTTATTCAAAACATTCGCGCATTCACTCCGTGTTGATATTACAGATCCGTCAACACAAAGAGAATTTACATATTCATTTTTTCTACCACGACAAATCCTATACACATGATCCCAGGGATCATTCCTATTAGATTCAACAAACATTCTTCTTTCATTCCCATTGAATCTCACCAAAATCTCTTTATACTTATTCATACAACGCCTATATTATATCTTCAGAAAATCTACACTCTAAAGGCTGGGCGCATTGGAACTGACGTCTCAACCGCGGAACGGACTTCCACTTCTCTCTTAACTCCCGTGCACCCCAATTCACAGACCTTCCCACACTGTCACTCTTCCACTTGCGAAACATACAATCATTGACACTCCATACACACTCACTCAAATGAGCTAATTTCTCATCCCCACTTAGCTCTTAAAACACACTAAGTGGTGCACGAGACATCACTTTCTGGACATTTTGTCCATAAGGGACCCAATCTACACGTGAAGTACGCCTCTTTTTTAAGCATACTCACAGCCTCAGTACTTGGGGACGTAGTGAAAGAAGTGAACACAACTTCAATCAAGTTGTGATCGCTTATTCCCTAACCCCCCTAACAGTCTACCTAAATTCGAACACCCTATGTGCTGCCACATTCAGAAGCGTAAGATTGATATCACTCATTTCTTCTGGCCTTTTAAATGAATATCACTCACTCGGCTCGTTCCTCACAAGGAGACTATTCGTCCCCAACCATTCGTACAAAATCTCGCCCCGATGATGGCTAGTATGGTCGGTAGCTTGCCTGGATATTTTACTAAACCACATCGGGGAAGACGCATTCGCATCCATTCCTTTGATAAGCGCATTGCTAGTAGCACCGTACCTAGGAATCCCAAGTAGGGCTCAAGAGGCTCATCAAACTTACAATACAAGCTGGCCACATACATCCTTCCAAAATCTCCTACAATGCACACACAAACTCTATACTCGGTCACTTCAACGACTATATACTCAAAGTTGGGCTCAGTCACCACAACTGCAACGTTGGCTCAAAGGTCAGAAAAGACCATAAGGCCTCTAGGAAAGCCTCGTTGGTGGCATAAGGCTCCAGGAGCAGAGCAATACTGTATCCATCTTCAGACACGCTAGCTCCAAACTCGCACATACTGGCGTAAGATCTCTGACTATTTAATTGTGTTGCCCTCATCAGTGTCTAGCAAGAGCACGGGCGATAGCACCGTAAATAGGGCAAGAAGTCGACATCATAAAATAATCGGCTGAAAATCCCTTAAACTGAGAGTTGCGAAAGTGCGCTGCATTGGCGCAATCTGCCGACCTTTGCCCCTTGTGCTCGCACTTTCCAACTTCATTCTAAACTCAGCTGCTCTTCAGTCAAAACTCACACAGCGGAAGCCACCCGTTCGCTAGTTGGGCCGGCATTAATCTGTCCGCACCCTCTAAGACAACGTTTATCGTACCATCAGACGTTTGCCCCCAAGAACGACCGACCAACCAAAAGTCTTGCGGTCGGCGTCCAGGACTATGTTTCTTGAAATTCATTCGGATTAGCTCACTCATGAACTCATCAGGAGCTATCTCCGCATGAACCCCTTAAACCACAACCCTGATTCCTAGCTTCCGGCTCACCTCCTTCAAGTATTCTTTTTGGCGACCTTCTCTCGCACCTGCGAATAATCGCCTCGCCGCCTTTAACAGGCTTCATCCCGTGTACCCTTACTCGGAGTTCAGGGCACACCTCCTTCACCACCTTCTGTACCACCTCATTTGAGGTGGTAGGAGGATTTTTGCTCCACACTACGACTTACCATGTCTCTACCGGCTAAGGTAGCGTAGCTGCATGAGCAACAAGTACTGGCATAAAGGTTCGCTCAGCCGCCGCAGCCATGGCCGGGCGCTTCTGGAGACCCTCAATTTGACCATGTAAGTTAGCATTCTCGGCGATTGCCGTCATCAGAAGTTCTTTGTATTCCGAAGAGAACGAAGCGCCCATAGTCTTGGCGGTTATGGCCTTAAATGCCTTGACAAGCCGGGCTGCAGTCTTTACTGCCTCAGCAGACGTAACACCGGTGATATTGCTGGCCACTGTAGACCTCCAAACAACTTTTTGGTCACACCA